GTCAAAATCTAATCAGATCTTAGAATGAATCATGGTCTGCTGAAATTTTTTATAGGGCAATATTTTAATGTGAAGAGACGATCTTGTGTTCCAGTGGGAGCAGTATATTTCTTTTTGAAATTTTCCGTGACAAGTTAACTGTGCTAGTTGCAGCTTCACTAAAAACACTTTTTAGCTCACCTGAGCCGAAGGCTCAAGTGAGCTTTTCTGATCACATTGTGTCCGTCGTCCGTCCGTCCGTCTGTCCGTCCGTCTGTCCGTCTGTCCGTAAACTTTTCACGTTTTCGACTTCTTCTCAAGAACCACTGGGCCAAGTTTGACCAAACTTGGTACGAAGCATCCTTGGGTGAAGGGGAATTTAAATTGTTGAAATGAAGGGACATATCCCCTTGAAAGGGGAGATAATCAAGAAAAGACAAAAATAGGGTGGGGTCATTAAAAAATCTTCTTCTCAAGAACCACTGTGCCAGAAAAACTGAAACCTATGTGGAAGCATCCTGGGGTAGTGTAGATTCTAAATTATTCAAATCATGACCCCCGGGGATTGGGCGGGGCCACAATGGGGAATCAACGTTTTACATAGAAATTTATAGGAAAAATCTTTGAAAATCTTCTTCTCAAGAACCACTGTGCCTGAAAAGCTGAAACTTATGTGGAAAAATCCTGGGGTAGTGTAGATTCTAAATTGTTCAAATCATGACCCCCGGGGGTTGGGCGGGGCAACAATGGGGAATCAAAGTTTTACATAGAAATTTATAGGAAAAATCTTTGAAATCTTCTTCTCAAGAACCACTGTGCCTGAAAAGCTGAAACTTATATGGAAGCATCCTGGGGTAGTGTAGATTCTAAATTGTTTTAATCATAACCCCCGGGGATTGGGCGGGGCCACAATGGGGAATCAAAGTTTTACATAGAAATTTGTAGGAAACATTTTTCAAACTCTTCTTCTTAAGAACCACTGTGCCTGAAAAGCTGAAACTTATATGGAAGCATCCTGGGGTAGGGTAGATTTTAAATTATACAAATCATGACCCCCGGGGGTTGGGCGAGGCCACAATGGGGAATCAAAGTTTTACATAGAAATATGTAGGAAATATCTTTCAAAATCTTCTTCTCAAGAACCTCTGTGCCTGAAAAGCTGAAACTTATATGGAAGCATTCTGGGGTAGTGTAGATTCTAATTTGTTCAAATCATGACCCCTGGGGATTGGGCGGGGACACATTGGGGAATCAAAGTTTTACATAGAAATATATAGGAAAAATCTTTGAAAATCTTCTTCTCCAGAACCACTGTGCCAGAAAAGCTGAAACTTATGTGGAAGCATCCTGGGGTAAGATTTTAAATTATACAAATCATGACCCCCGGGGGTTGGGCGGGGCCACAATGGGGAATCAAATTTTTACATAGAAATATGTAGGAAACATCTTTCAAAATCTTCTTCTCAAGAACCACTGTGCCTGAAAAGCTGAAATTGTTCAAATCATGACCCCTGGGGATTGGGCGGGGACACATTGGGGAATTTAAGTTTTACATAGAAATATATATGAAAAAGCTTTGAATATCTTCTTAATAACCACTGTGCCAGAAAAGCTGAAACTTATATAATTATGATCAGTGGGGTAGGGTGGGGTCACAATACAAGGGGTAAATCTAGTAAAGTACAGAATTGTCAAAGCTTCTCAGGTGAGCGATGTGGCCCATGGGCCTCTTGTTTTTTTAAAATTTCGGAAGTTAATTAGATGGATTGATATTACAACCGTTTTAAACTTTCGTACACCGAGATTATCAAAATGATGAAATCAAGAATATCATGTTGCTTTGTATGGTATGTCAATTCTTTATCTTTTAGGCTTACCTGGCACGCGAAAGAGCTTTCCAAATATTTCAATATAGTTGTATCATAGTTCTGGAATTTTAAATCCATATACAGTCAAACTTGTCTAAGCGGCCACCCGAAATCAACGGCCACTCGCAGTCAACGGCCACTTTCATCCCCCCCCCCCCCCCCCCCCCCCAACATGATTTTGATTTTTCTTACATATTTTAACTTTAATAAACGGCTATCTGTGTAACGCCAGCTGCCAATCAAATCTTCCCCCAACAGCCTCATTGACACCGTAATAGGCAGCCATTTCGTCACTTAATTAATGCGAGTCTATCACACCTTTTAAACGCGTTGGATTGGGTAATTATATTTCTCGATAGTCAATTAAACCTATTAATGCAATCAAATAAATTGCCTTTAGATAGATTAACTCTGTTTGTGTTTATGAAAAAAAATTGTCCTGTTAGATCAATTTGTAATTATTGTTCAAGATCACCGATTAAAAAATTAAAAGAATTTAATTATATAATGATACTTTCCTCTTGCTAAAGAAACTCACACCCTTTTTAGATGTTGATTCCATGTAGAAGCACTAATTGCTACTCTTGTGCATATGCCATGATTATCTCGTGAATTTCGAAAGACTATCGATAGGGATTAGTTACGCTCTACTGCACGTGACACCTTTATTATGGAATGATTTTCAACTGCATAAATACATCTTCCTGGTCAACTGCTTGATTTTATTTGTGTGTCTGTATATATTACCTTGAAACTCTGACATCTGTATAAATGATAAAATTAACCAGACTTTAAGAACACCAGCTAGTAAGTTAATTACCGATTAATTTAGTGGGGTGGGGGGTTCACTGCTGATAATTTTTTAATACAAGAATTTTAACTAATATTTACGAACAGAAACATGCACAAACCTTAAACATTTCGAATTCCGTAATAATCTTTTTCAATGAGCTTGAGTTATTATAAATACATATAATTAAAAATGACCTGTTAATTATGATTAATGCATTTAACTGTAGTCCTTAATGTTGTTTATATATTGACCGACTGTCCTTTTTGAGGGCAAACTGGAATAAGAGGCCACCTGTCTTTAACGGCCAGTTTCCAGACTTCCGAAAGGTGGCCTCTTAAAACAAGTTTTACTGTATAAGCTCAGTAAACAAAGAATTTAAAAGACGTTCTGCCTGTTTTAATTTTTATGTAAGGATAGGACTTTATACTTTATATAATTTACCGGTAAATCAAAAGTGTCAAAGATGTAAAAAAAAAAAATTACAACAAAAGCCTATTTATTTACGTTCCTATCATTGGATAATACCACAAATCACATTTTTTATTTTATATGATGTTCATAACAATTGGTATTTATATTCAAATTTACAGTCAATTTCTTTCAAATTTCAAACACTTTTATGGGATAATTAAAAAAATATATATGACTTTTCTGAATTCAAGGAAGCTTGAGGCATAAGGGAAAATTCTTGCATTAGAGGATTAATATTTAATTTGAAAGCTTCATTTTTGAATCCATGTTTTGAAATTAATTATAAATTTAAGATTTGGTCTTCCTTGCTGGTGATCAGAGTACCTTAAGGTCTCAATATAAGGGCCCACCATTTTCAATTTAAATTACCAAGTGCTTGACGAAGAATCAATTACTGTCTATTTTTGTCGGCATACCGACGTCCCAATCAAATAATGTAATATATTCTATTGAAGAACAAGGAAAAACATTGTATTCAATATGAACCGGTCAAATTATACTGAGCGCGTTTTTACAGTGGAAAGTTTGAAACTTAGCCTGGTTGTTCTGCAAAGTGTCCTTCATCCATTACATCCCAGGTAACCATGTATGAGGGATCTATTCTTTCCCTCCGGCTTGAATTTAGACATTAAACTTTTCTATGTTCATATGTACAATGAAATCTTTCTAATCCGATATGCACTGGGAGACGAATTTGTGTCGAAATAGACAAGGTGTCAGAATAGACAGGTGTGCGGTTGCACATTGTAGAATAAATATGAAGACTAATGGGAAATAATTTTACTTCAGAATTAACAGTGTTCTGGATTGCACAGGTATCGTATTGGACAATGTTCACTGTAAAAGTATTCTATTGATAGTGTATTTTAAGCAGGATTAAAATGGACCACCTATGCTTCACTGAATGGTTACTATTAATTCCTTAAATGTTACTAAATGACACTGCTAAACCCTTCCTGTCAAAATTTTCTTATAAAAAGAATGGCAAAGTTTTTTCCCTGCATTCCATAAAATGAATTCTTAACTATGGACACAAGAGAGTGAAGAACCGACAATTATTCACTTTTAAAATATTTATTTAAAAATCATATAACATTTTGATATATCGCAATTTAATACACCATTTACACACACACAAGAACATTTAGAATTGTTTTGAATATCTTTTAAGTGTGTCTTCAAAAGGTTCAGTTGAAATTTAAAGTAATATCCCCTTTGTGAGCACTAACGAATGAAAGCTTTCAATCAGAATAGGGGAAACAACTTTTGACATATTCAATTTTGTAATCGAAGGGATACGGTATCGTATGTATTTGACTAGAAAATGATACATGTATTAAATGAAGCAACAAACAGTTATAAAAAAAATAAGATATTTAAATGACAAACAAAGTTAAATAACAAATCAGCGGCTTGGCTTTCAAGAACAACGATAACATCAACATGTACCATGTTGGAGTAGGAATTCTTTGTCAATTGGAGACACCTAAAGTGTGTCCCTGATCATAATTGAATCCACACTTTTCAAAAAGCATGTCCCATGGCGGCCATAAAAAAAAAAAGTTAAAAATCCTTACAGTAGCCTTTGTATGTTTTTTTCCTTTTTGACCTTTTGTTGATAATACCACAAATCAATTTTTGATATATGATGTTAATAACAAACTATTTATAGAAATGGGTAAAAGATTTTTTTTACTGTGGTAAGTTATGTTTACTCTTCATCAGTAGAAATGTGATCAGTTTCAACGTGAATACAATTTTTACCACAGCAAAGAACAATGACATATCTTTCACCTAGCTTATTGTTGTTTTTCAACTTTGAAGAAGAAAATATAAACATTCTATGAAATATTGTACATTATAGGTACAATACGTTATAAACAGCGATGTCAGAAAGACTTTTTGAAGGGCTTCCACATCTTTGAAATTAACCTGAAGTTTCCTGTGTTGATCCAGCTGTTTTGTTTCTTTGTTGTATTTCCTGTCAAACAGTAACAAAGGAGACAAATGAACAACTTTGAAAATGGGTTATATATAAAAAGTAACATTTAAAAACGCAGAAAATGAACTTATTACATGAAATAAATGAAGAACATGTACTAGTATAATATAAACGACATAGCACCAATTGCTTAAAAACTATGACAAAAATGATTTTTACTGTAGATCAATGATAAAGGACAAAACGTTAACAAAGTAGTTTGTATTCTTATACGAAATCACTGTCTTGTTTGTTTGATATGCCAATTCCTCTGAAAATTAGGGTCGAAACCTTTGAAATGAGGGGAGCCTGGTTGTTAACAAATCTGTCCACCCATCACACACTTACTCTCCAGGTAACCATGCTTTATAATTGGCTATTCCTTTTTTGTGGGCGTGTCCTAAAAATATCCAGATAAAACACCTGTTTAATAGTTTATATAATTTGAAATTGAGTGTGATCTTATATATAAGCAGTTTGTTTTATCTAAGGAATGAGTTTTTTAGCAACCCATTTTATGCGGTATAAACTGGGTTATAAACCACGAAACTGTTATATTCAGGTTTGCATCAGGTTTAAGTATTAAAAATCTGATAACAGATGATTGAAATGATTTTATACTGAATTAACAGTTTCAAAATATATTGTCGATAAAGGTACAATTTAGGACAATGTTCACTGTAAAAGTACCTTTAGCAGGGAGGGATTTTATCGTGCCACATCTGGGTAACACGGGGCCCAGTATATGTCTCACTGAATGGACCGCACTATTAATCGCCTTAAATGTCACTTAATGACACTATTCTAACCCGGATCATCACGGGGCGATAATTTTCTTATAAGGAAGAAATATGCAGACGTACTTTCTTCCCCTGCATGTCCACTGTGTAGCTGAAATCTTTTGTGGACACAAGTAGAGGTGACTATAAACCGACAATTATTCACTTTTAAAATATTTATTTAAAAATTATATAACATTTCAATATATCGCAATTTAATACACCATTTACACACACAAGAACATTAAGAATTGTTTTGAATATTTTTTAAGTGTGTCTTCCAAAGGTTCATTAAAAATTAGAGTAATATCTGTGTGAGCACACACCAATGAAAGCTTTCAATCTAAACTGAAACAACTTTTATATTCAATTTTGTTTGGAAGTGAGTAAAATATGCTAAATATTTGAAGAAAATGCCCTATAAACTTTGTATCGTCGCTGGAAATGATGTCACAAACGGTTATAAAAAAAATAAAATATTTAAATAACGAAACAATTTTCAAATCAATTTCACAGTAAGCTTACTAGAAAAACACAGCGAATATAAATATTAATATATATTATATAACTTTGTGAAATCCGATAATCTGATTGGTCAATACGAAGTACTTATTTTTTAATAACGACCGTGTGTCCCTCGTTTTCAATTGAATCAACATATTTCAAAAAGCAAGTTTGCGAGCTATAGCGAAGAGGACTTAAAGGAGGTAAATAATCGGAATCAGATAATACTAAAAGATTAGAATTTGTAGTTTTCAGGTTTGTAGCTTTATCATTTGACTGGGGAAAATTGTTGTATAGTGTATACTGATTGCCCCATGTTGGGGCTACCCACACATCCAATTAAAACAACACAGTGGATTCATCGTAGCCCGCCCACATGTTTGGTTGCATAAAGAGGAGAAATGTTTTACTCCCTTTTGACCTTTTGGTTGACCCCGAAAAGGGACATAACTATTGTAAAGTGTGGATTAGACTATAGTAAAAAGGATAGGAGAATTTGGTTAAAAGAATTTTTTTAATGGCCAAGAAAGAAAACTGGGGTTAAGTTATGTTTACTCTTCATCAGTAGAAATGTGATCAGTTTCAACGTGAACAATTTTTACCACAGCAAAGAACAATGACATATCTATCACCTAGCTTATTGTTGTTTTTCAACTTGGAAGAAGACAATATAAAAATTCTATGAAATATTGTACATTATAGGTACAATATGTTATAAACAGCGATGTCAGAAAGACTAGTTGTGAAAGGGAAGGGCTTCCACATCTGCTGCTTGTACCACCTGACAAGTTTCCTGTGTTGATCCAGCTGTTGGGTTTCTTTGTTGTATTCCCTGTCAAACAGTAACAAAGGAGACAAATGAACAATTTTGAAAATGGGTTATATATAAAAAGTAACATTTAAAAACGCAGAAAATGGACTTATTACATGAAATAAATGAAGTACATGTACTAGTATAATATAAACGACATAGCACCAATTGCTTAAAAATTATGACAAAAATTATTTTTAGTGTAGATCAATGATAAAGGACAAAATGTTAACAAAGTTGTTTGTATTCTTATACGAAATCACTGTCTTGTTTGTTTGATATGCCAATACCTCTGAAAATTATGGTCGTACCTTTGAATGTGGGGACCTCTCTGGACGGTATATCAATGATCTGTCCACCCATCACACACTGGTACTCTCCAGGATACTTCGCTTTATAACTGGCTATTCCATTTTTGTGGGCGTGTCCTAAGGAAAGCCAGATAAAACAGCTGTTTAATAGTTTATATAATTTGAAACTGAGTGTGATCTTATATAAGCAGTTTGTTTTATCTAAGGAATGAGTTTGTTAGCTACACATTTTATGCGGTATAAACTGGGTTATAAAGAACGAAGCTATTATATTCAGGTTTGCATCAGGTTTAAGTATTAAAGATCTGATAACAGATGATTGATTGATTGATTTTATACTGTTTAACGCCCCTTTCCAGAATATTTCACTGATATGAAGACGTCAACTTTGTCGATAAAGGGCTGCACAATTTAGGCCTATGCTCGGCACTTACGACCTTTGAGCAGGGAGGGATCTTTATCGTGCCACATCTGCTGTAACACGGGGCCTCAGTATATTCAGTCTAATCCGAAGGACCACCCCATTTAGTCGCCTTTTACGACAAGCAAGGGAGTACTGATGACTATTCTAACCCAGATCCTCACGGGGCGATAACAAATGAAGAAATATGCAGACGTACTTTTTTCTATTGTTGTACACTGTGTAGCTAAATCTTTTCTGTTCCATGTACAGGTAACTATAAAGCCGTCTTCATTCTTCCTCTTTATATGGAGTCCCACTGGTAACAAATGGAAGAATTTATGTCGGCAGGTGAGATTCATGTGTTCTTTGTTGTAGGTGGCAGAAACTGTGAATTCTGAGCCTATTGAAAACAAACTAGAGTTTAATAATATATAACTCACATGTTAATTGTGTTTTACTAATTCGATCAATGGAAGGATAGAAAGAGACTTACGGCATGGTATCATCAATATAATTGATTTGTTAACATGTTTTCTATTTTTACACCAGGAACGTATTATCAACTGTTTTCCGGCATGGTGTTCCAGTTTGAAATTGAAACTGAATGTCAGAGATTTATTGGTATTATAATAATTCCCATTAATACACCACATTTTTCCTTGATTCCAATCACATTGATCAACATGATTAGGATCTCCCTCTACAGAAATCGTAATATGTCCAACATCACAATCAAAGAATCTTTCAATCATCTGTCTTTCATTGTGGCAGAATTCTTTTGTTTCTTCCGTTTTTGACAAAATTACTGAAAAAAAAAAATACAAAGTCTGTCATTTAAATCATTTTACATAAAAGCATGCTTAAGATAGAGTTATATGTAAAAATCACATATCCGAAGCTCAAAGGCATATATACTGGGATAAACAAAATAATCAGAATGGACTGACGATCTGCATTTTTTTATCACACCTTTAAAATTTAATCAATACAATCATTACATGTTTTGGACCTATGTTTTAAAATAATTAAGTGGGATAAAGCGGAGGGGGTACGTTGATGTAACAGTAATCATTTTATCGTTGGAAACATCATCGTTGATGTGTATCGAGTACAGAGTTGGGTTAAGTAAATAACGAATAGAATCGAATTGTATCGGATGATCCCTCCTTTATGGCACCTGACCCTCCTTTGCTGTTTTTTGAGGTCCATGTTGTCTCTGCTCCTTTTTGTATTGGTTGTAAATGGACTTTTGATCTTGTATAATATTCGTCATCTCCATATGATTCATTTTTTTATTGAATTGTCATATCTCGAATATTTTGAGAGAAAGGAAAAAAATATAGTAACAATTGCAGAAGATCTCGACAGTTTTCAAATTATCACTGGCACGACATGAACATCGAATTATTTTGCCTTGAACTAGAATGTACCGGTAAGTAAAATGTTATTCTTTTTTTAATCTATAGTGATTCATAAATTATTTTGTTTTTATTTTTTTGCATCAAAGAGAGATAGTTAGATCCTGCTGATAAACATTCTGGCCTCATAGAGCTGCTTAAATATAAAGCCTAGTCAGTTTAATGGGTAATAGATCATATGTATATCATGTTGCATATTCAAATGAAGAGCATTTATAATGGAGGCTTGAAATTTTGTTTTCTGACCTTCTGTCTTGATGTTATCATGTACTTAAATCTTATGTCATCCTTCATTTCTATCTTGTGTTTACAACATGAAGTTTATTTAGACTAGTTCACATTCACTGCACTTTTAGGTCATTCTTCACACCTCAGTCATATAAATCAAGCAGCGTTATGTGATCTCATTAAAAACACTTGTATTCAACTGACTTAATGAAAAACGTAAATCCCTTTCACAAAAACATGGTCATATTCCTACCTAGATTAAAACTTTTGCCACTCTATATTTTTTGGTGATATTTAATAATGATTTATTTTCCAAATACACGTCATTTATATATACTTATATATACAATCATAGATTCATTATTTAATAATTAAAATATCAATATTATGTAATTTATTTTAATTTTTGTATCTTAGATATTTGATGTAGAATGAAAAACATTCTGATATTACACTAAAATAAATTGTGAATGGGTCACAGATTAACAAAATGAAAAATATTTTCTGTCCAATAAAACTCCTGGCGACCGTTTCACTAAGAAATCGCAAATCGTAAACGTACGATAAAGTTTACGTTTGCTAGAGGTGCACGTAAACGAGCGTTTCACAAAACATATCGTAAACGTAGCACTTACGACTGGCGAGTTACGACCAACTTTTCGGAACTCTTCTAACAAAGGAGGTGTATTTGTATTTGTTTGAGAAAGAGGAGAAAGAAAGAAAGAAATCCATATCATTACGAAATAAAAAATAAGTATCTTTCATTATTTGTCTTAGTCTTCAAAAATAGAGAGAAAAGAGAGAGAGAGAGAGATAATGGAAAAAAGATCACTAAAATGAAAAATTAAAATTTTATATACCTATTCTATGCACAAAATTGATTAAAGTTCCTTTTTATTATATCTAGGATCAAATTCTACGTATCAAGTATAGTCCACAATCATTCTGGTGTATAATTTTTTATTTTACTTAACATGCCTAACTCTTTAAGTTATTTTACTCCCTGCTAAAAGTTATAACAAGCTCGTGGTGAAACAAAACACATTTAAAAAGTTTTTTTCCGACTGTATATTCGTATTGACGTTTTGTATTATTTTTCTTTTAGAAATAAGAATTAATTGATGCATGTTATACAATTCGGAATGTTTATTTTTTAAATATTGCCTAAACTCACATGCATGTTTTAAAAAGTATTTTTATATCAGTATAAATAAGTAAGCAATTATATTAAGATGTTATCAAACTATCCATTGCAATATCTCATTCAAATCTTAAATATCGGGAAAAAATTAATACGGGAAAAATATTTTACTCTTACAATTTGCAAGTAAATCTTATAATCAAAACAAATGTATTCAATCTAAATCTCTAAATTGATTCAAATTGTCTTTAACAAACGTTGATGCAACAACCGACAAAACTCTCCTTGTATATGTTGTATAGTAAAGCTGTGTCCACAGCAGTGGTTTAAAGAGAGAGGAGGGAGGGAAATTTCCCCAAATTTTACCTGAAAAGCAAACTGAAATCAAACAAAATTTACCCTCCCCAAAAAAAAAAATAGGGGGTAACTTCCAAGCGTAATAATTCTGAAAAATAAAGGGAAATTATAAAATGTCAAAATCCTAAAATTTGCCTGTGCCAGATCTACATGTATGTAACAAAATGTATGCCATAAAAGTGGCCACCCTCCATGTTCTACGTGCCTCTGTTTACATTTACATGTATGTATATTATGTATATTAGTTTTCACAAGTTAGAAAGGTTAGTTTGATTTTATTTTGACAGACCCAGTAAAGTATAAGTCACACTATCCAGGGATGGGGAATACGATGAGAAACCGATGCGTTTTTGATTAAAATGGCGTGGTTGCCGGCCGGGCAACACTAGCGATCGGACGGTGACTGAGTCTTTTTTGCGAATCGGTGGGGTCATCGGTAGGCCGATGTATTGCCGAGCATCGTCCTATATCCGTTGAATCTGAGGTCATCGGTTAGTTGAGTAGTGCTCAACAGATAACGAACGATCATCGGTCGATGTTCGACCAAACATTGGCCCGTAGTCGACCGATGTACGAACAATGTTCACCAATGTATGAGCGATGTAATATACATCGGCCGATTATCCTGGAACATCGTTTTATGCCTAGCAATGCATCGCTGAACCTTTATAAGTACTGCTGGCAACCACGCCATTTTTCTCATAAAACGCGTTGGTTGCCCATCGTATACACATCTCTGGATAATGTGACTGATACTTTAAGGACTACTGGGCCGATGTGGACCGATGTTTGGGGCATCGTTAACACCACAGATTACTACCGATTACCACCGGTCTACGGCTACCGGCCGGGAAATGTGACCTAGGCATTAGTAACTAAATTTTCATTTTAAAAAAATTCGGTTATTTTCACAAATTCACATGTTCACATATACTGTGTGCATATTCCAGCAATTAATCTATTTAGAAAAGAAAAATAAGAATCAGCGAGGTATAGAGTTAAAATTCTTAGTTTAATTTTATTTCTGTATCTCTATTCAGTTCTATAAAGGGGGTGTGTAGAATGTGCATCCATCTTGTAAGCGATCTTATTCAAAACTCATTTGATCTAATTTTAAACTAATTTTATTGCTTGATATCTATGATCTACAGCAGAATATATTGAGCTTTAAAAAAATTGAAAATTAAAAGTATTTCTTTTTTTATTGTCAAGTTGTTTTTTTCTTTTTTTGTGTATTGTATCTTTTTTTTAATTTGGCCAGTGTGATTTTAAGATCGGACTCGGTCTACACAAAATACTATTGTTGTTGATGAAAAGCAGACAAAAATGTACGAAAGTGAGAAATTACTTTGTTTCTTGCTTATATTGTCGTATTTCTTTTTTCATGAAATTACTTGCACGTAAGTATTTTAAGAGTGTCCCTTACTGCTTGTAGGGTTACGATCAAGTTTATTCGTAACTTGCAAATCGTAACTCTTAGTGAAACGCACTTACGTGCCACGTTAATTTTACGCATACGTTTACGAGCTACAACCTGTTAGTGAACGGTCGCCTAGTCATAAGAAGAAAGCCGTATTTGATTTACTGATAGTGTGGTTATCTAAGACAGATTTTAAACTACACAATTAACAAAGGATAAAAGACGAATCTACCGGGTACCATACAGGGGTAGCATGTTATGACATTTCAATGTTAAAGTATTCATTATTAATGGTATTAATTACAAATCCACATGGCGACAAATTCAATTCAATGTGTAAAATATAAAGCATGAATACGATTTAAAATTTTAAACTTAATAGAAAAATTTGTCGAATTCAAATAACATAGGCCTTAATACACTGTAGATATTATACAACAGTCATGTATGATATACATAAACACGGGAATTTATACTTATTTTTATAAAGGTATAACAGAATGCTAGGAAGGTGAACTGCGTGAAGCAAATTTCAATTTTTTTGAATTTTTAGTGAGAATGTTTAAATATATACCCTTAACAATTATTTCTGCCCTTGGTGTAACTTATTACATCTATATGTACAATAAAATCCTTTACTAATCGCCTTACCCAAAGCTTAACCTAAGAGTAAAACGCTTTTTATCTCACTTGTCCGGTATTTGATGCCAATACACATGAGCAAACATAAAGAAGGATAATAACGAACAGTATTCAATCTCAACGTCCATTAAACAAATATACAAAATAAGAGCAGAGCAAACACGGACCTCCGAAACATCAGAGGAGGGAAATAAAAAATATTTAATCTAAACTTTGCACACATGGCACCTTCTCTTCGAAAGATAACACGAGCCCTTTCCTGTGTCTTGATATCAGTTACCGATCAGCATTGGGTTAAAAGAGAAGTGTCCTCTCTTTGTTTAATGACAAAGAGTGAAGTAGAATGGATTTAGTAAATTTCATGACATTTACAAGATTATCGACAGACTCGTAAAAAGCTGAAAGTTATTTTTTTTACGTTAAGAAAGAAATATACACTCACTTACTATTAACTAAGAGGATCAGAAAGCGTTCTGTAATATATGAAAATACTCTTTTTATTAATAAAAAAAGAAGAAGAAGATTACTATGATACTTGAAAATGAATCTGATAAACATCAAGAAATCAACCCCAATGATAATTTAATATCAGTTCCATTTTGCACTTACCAATCTCGATCACACACAAATGAACATACCCAATTATGATATTTAAAAATATTTTAATAAAAAATTACCCCAACAGAGCATTTAGAGTTTTCCTAGTGAAAAATAAGTATTAAATAACGAGTTTTCATTTTTATCTAGAGTACTATAGAACGTGGCAGAAACAAAGGATTTATACAAAAAAAATGTAAATAAAAATGATGGAGAAATTATCAAATATCTATTTTATGAATTTGAAAAGTATATATGCATTAATACCTTTTTTAAAACATTCTTATTTTCCCTTCTTTCAGACCTTAAGGTTATCATTACGTGAAAAACACATTGTTACGTCGTCAAACTAATTATCAGTTGTAAATTCGTATTAAAAATCAGTTTATTAAGCTGTAATTGAATTTAATGACCTGTAATTTCTTTTTCTTTTTTTTTTATTTGTTAATTTTTTAAGCAAGAAAAAATGATTTAAAACAGTAAATAAATTAAATTTTATTATGCACAAAATATTGCGCCCCTTTAAAATGGTTCATTAAGATTTTCTAAACCATTTGTTATTTTTTCTAAGGCTAGTCAGTCAAAAAAAATTAATTTTATTATTCATTTAAAAGTTTAATCACCGTCAACTATACATTTATTTAAAACTGATTTTGCTTACAATTTATCTTACCTTAATTTTTTGCTAACCCATTATCTTCAATCCCCTTGACAAAAAATTAAAATAAAGAGTGCTATAAACAGAATTACCTTCATAACATAGAGTGAGAAAAATCACGTTATAGATCCATACATCCATTATCACAGACATGTTCAAGGTGTTGACCGAATCTTAAACGCAAATAATGAAGTATATAATTTCCTACTCATTAAATATTTAACAGGAGTCTACGGGAATCAGAGCTTGAAGTATAACACCGACAGGACACCTGAAAAAATGCCTTGCGCATTTCAATATGTAAACTGAAATCTTTAAAATGTCACATTACAAATCCATCAGAACACGGGCACTGGTTTCGTTTTCAGGGCACCCCCAATTTGTATTTTAAACAAGTGCCAGTGTAGTCAGGTCACTAAATGATCGTCGGGGTTTTTTTAAGCTCCGGTCTAATATATATATACTTGTATAAAACAAGTGCCTGTAGTCAGGTCACTAAATGATCGTCTAGGTTTTATCTAAGCTCCGATCTTAATCAATAGATATGCGAGTTCAAAAACATTCAGATCTGTAGTATAAACTAACGCAATATACACATTTTCTATTTAACTTCCAAAGTTCTTTTAACTTCTGTTTGTAAAGCTATCTGTAAAGTAAATTAGTTTAATTATTTGTAATAATACACTGAAAAACCCCATATCCCTGGGAGATTAATTTAAAAAGTGTTAATCATTAGAATCTATTAAAATTTAAAGAAAATTTACTTGAATTATGCTTGCACGAAAAAAACTTAATTTCTGCTCAATGACCTCAAGTGGTGAATATAGGTCAAAATATGGAACTCTCCAACGGCAAGTAGTGGTGTCTAAATATCATATTAAAATAAATTCACGGAAAGGTTGGTAAACAAAAAAACCCAATAATCTATACAGGTTGAGCCTAATACGCGTGTGGCTACGCAGTAATAAATAATATGTATTTTACTTGCTTTCAGAAAGGACTACTTGAAAGACATGCGTGTTGAAATAAACCTTTAATTGATAATGAAACCAAAAACATTCATTGAGTCACGTCTAATCAGCCTTGAACTTTGATACCTATTTCTTTATCTTTCTGCCTTTTACAAAGAAAAACAAACTTTAAATTCATTTATTTAACGGCAATCTAGAACGATATTTTATCTGAAAGTAATGTTACAACTTATGTACACTATCATACACATAATTACATATATCAAGAAAAATGTAGTCAAATTTAAAAAAAATATATTTCTTTTAATTAAGTTACATTTAAATTTTTCCCTTTTCTTTAGTTCAATGATAAACCATCAGTTAGTAGATATAGAATTTAGAAAGATATAACATGTATAGTATAGAATAAATAAAGTTTTATCACACATACGTCTGGTTTATTGGAGGAAAGTTTGCGTCAGAATCTCTATAAATCCAAACGTGTCTTTCTCTCTTTCTTTCTTTCTTTTGTTTTTTTATTTTAAAAAAAAAACATGTCTTTCTGTTGAAATGTTCTCTGTTTGAAACAACTGAAAACATTATATTCTTAACATCAAGCTTTATTTTGTCAGCAATTAAATAAAGAAACCTCCTTTCATTTTGAGAACTCATAATGTCATAAAATTTTTCGTTATACCTTTCCATTTATTCTATTATTTCTTTATGACATACATGTTTTTGTACTGTATTCCGTGATGTAACATAAGGTTTTTCACTGATTAAAACTAACGAATGAAGATGAGATTAAGCTCCGACCATTCTGTGACGTAAGCGGTCCAAGATCTCTCCAAGCGATCCAACATCTGACTCAGCGGTCCCACATCGATTTTTTATGCCACCCAGCAAAATATTAAAAATGTTTAACTTTTTTTCGTATAGATTTGTATAGGAACATTTTTTAAAGCTATGACAATATTTATTAATAATATTTATTTCATATATATTCCAGTGTCATACAATGTATCTTTTTCACAATAAGATAAATAGAAACAAGGAACAGGATTCAAGCTTACAATCCAATCCAAACAAATAAAGATCAGAGTAAATACAGACCTCCGAAATAGCAGAGGTGGGATCAGGCACCATTGAGAATAATAATTCCCCATTGACCAGTCACGTTCGTGCTCCTTAAGATGATTGGAAAATAACAAAATATCGACCAATTTCCTTAAAGGGATCATTAAATCTTTCATTCATACTTATTACGTCTATGTAACTGATATGTTTTCTGTAAATTACTTAATATCAATTAAAATATAACTTCAAAACTTATTTTTACTTCCATAGACATCTTGTATTGGAATTATTAAAAACAATGAAATCATTAAAAAAAAACTAAAGCAATATATCCTGAATACTCGCATCCCCCTACAGACTAAAAATTCAGTCGGTTGTCATACAGTGCGTAAACATGTGTAATTTTTTTTTATTATTTTAGCGCAATTAATTCAAATAAAAAAAATCAGAATCAAATTTCTCCCCATTTTCAATCGCAAGTACTTCATGACGAGAACAAAACATGAATATCTTTTTTGTAATATTTATCCATTATAGAAGTCTTTAATTTTAAAAATGAATAAAAGCAATCATTTATGTATGGAAGCCCGTTGAAACAGTTCAGAGAAAGAAATATTTTTGTTGCCTTTAAAGGCAAAACATTACGATTAATCAAAATATCATTGCGCTTAAACGCAAAGCACTTTGAGTTTGATTGCAAAAGATTGCGTTAAACGCATTAAAAAGCAATAATTATTGCTATTAAGGGGACCGATTTTAGTTTTCATTGCGCAATATTTCGTGCAACATAGTAAAATGAAGCATATTTACGGTTGTAATGAAACTTTTTTCGCTTAATTATTAAAAAACAAAATTTAGAAAATAAAGGTATAAAAATATTAAAAAAAAAAGGTATGTCTTTACAATTTGATGTAACTGATTTTTTAAACCGATTTAGCAATTGACGTCGTTGCAGTGTGTTTTTGACATTATGATGAACTGTAGCTCTTTAGGAAAGGGGTTATAAAAATATTACTTAATAAAATGTAATAAACATACGCTCTTGAAATTTAAAATATAGAAATTTGAGAATATCTCCCAATATTTTTATTATGTTTTCATGTGAATCCATTGTGTGCGTCTTATCATGTAATACTCTATAAAAACAGTAAAATTTACTTTTTTGCATTTTGAGATTCCCCCTCTCCCCTGGTTACAAGAAAGTAGAATTTTGTGATTCTTACATATATTGTATAATATAGTATTACTCATCAAATATTATACAGTGAACAAAATGTCTACTGTAATATTTGTGTAATTTGCTTTAAAATGTTAAAAAATGACATTTTCCAATATAATCCTATTGTAAATGTACCTGTATTTTGAGAGGGTACCTCAAAAATACCTGTACGGTAGATTTCCTTCAAACTTTGCATATACACTGTAGTTAATGTAAGTTGTATATAGTATAAAAATGAAGAGTTTCGCTATTTCAGTTTCCACACAATAAAACTATAGTCGGCCCCCTTAAGTGCAATAAAAATGGTTTATTATTTAATTTATAGTTAAAGAGTAATTTTTTTCTGGCTGACAATTGGAGTATGGTATTCGAAGGGCCCACCATCTCCAATTCAACTTACAGAGTGCTTGGCGAAGAATCAGTTTCTGTCTATGTTGGTCGACATACCGACTTCCAAATTTAACAATATGATATATTTTATTCAGGAACATAAAAATATTAACTTGAACCGGTGAAATATTTTAATTCCGTCGGATGGTACGTTAAATGGTGCCACTTATTAAGGATTGCAACACCCTTGGCACGCAGAAAATAGTTTATCTAGTCTTTATAAATGAGTTCGTCTGCTGAATGCTGCATGAGAAATAAAAAAAAACAATTTAATATAAACCGGTCAGATGAACTCCTTTCCGCCAAAACATGGTTGAAATATTGTGTAGAAGGCTTGTTAATCGATTTAATTGCCGAGCGCGTTTTCTTTTTTACAAAGGAAAGTTCTAAACTACGTCTGGTTGTTCTGCAAGAGTGTCCTCCATTCATCACATCCAGGAAAATCTTGTATAAAGGATCAATTCTTTCCTTCCGGCTTGACATTAGACATTAATATATTAAACTTTTCTATGTACTTTTGTACAGTGAAATCTTATTAATCCGACATTCAGTGGGAGGTGAATATGTTGTCAGAATAGACAGGATGTCGGAATAGACAGGGTGACCGGTTGCACATTGTAGATAAAATATGAACATGAATGGGAAATAATTTTAATAAATTTACTTCATGATTTACAGTGTTGTAGATTTTACAGGTATCGTATTGGACGATATTCACTGTAAGAGCATCGATAGTGTGCTAAAAACAGGTTTTAAATATACCATATACCGTATAAGTGGTAATTTCAGCGAGACGCAAATTTAGCGATTTCTCTTTAAAAATTGGTAATTTATTTTTAGCGAGAGGTTATTTACACGACTTTGAAATGCTAACTAAAGAAGCTATTACAAATAAAATTTAGCGATCTCAGGACTCTGGCTTATAATGCCAAAATTAAATCCTTGCTAAATAAAACATATTATATTGTATAAGTAATGGCCTTCAAATCAATTCTTGAAATGTCACCTAATGGCACAGATCATACCTTCCTTGGCATTTCTGTTGATTTTTTTTTTTGTAAAATTAATGACTGGGTTTCTCCCCTTACAAGCCGCTAATTGAACTCTTAAATCTAGACGCCAGTGGGTAAAGGACCAACAATAATTTAGTTTTGAAACTATTTCAAAAAATATATATTATTTTAATCTATCACAGATTAATACAAAATTCATGCATAAGAACTTTAAGATAGTCTTGAATATATTTTAAGCGTATCTTTACAATGTTCGATAGAAAGAGTCACGTTACATCCCCCTTGTGACCATTGATTTGTTTACACCTTACAACACCCGGTGTAGACGATTTACACCTCATAATCAAGTGAAATTTGGTGTAGTGTGACAAATTCAACATGGAGGTCAACATTTCAACAAACTGGGGGGGGCCTATTTGCAGACAAATTTTTAATTCAATATTTGTTGCAATTGTGAACACTTAAAATTCCTTTAAAAACAAAACATTTTATAAATGCAAAGATTTTTTATTAAACATTTTCCTAGCTGCCCATAATTTCCTCTATAACTAAATATCTAGCCACAGTCAAATATATCTAGAGACTTTTTTCATCCAAACTTGCAAAATTCGCTTATTTTTATTTTACAAATTATGAAGTTTCTTTTTTATTTTACATAAAATGCACAAAACACTATATTTTTAAAAACAATTCATCACAATAAACCTATCAAATACTTGACAGTTAACTCAAATACAGAAAACGAAATTCTGCAGCTTTACCTTTTTGTCATTTGTCAGCCATATTGAATTTTCATTGTAATTACCAACACATGCCCTGCACAGGGTGTACAAGGTGTACACCTAAAGTGTACACTTTTGCACTTGATTATGAAAAAGTGTACACCGAGTGTTAGGTGTAGACCAATTTAACGCGCCCTAAAACAAATGGTTGCTCCTTTTTCTTTCAAAATCAAATATGGCAAACAACTTATGTCATATTCATTTTGCTATCCACTATTAACGGTCTTGCATGCATTTGACAAGAAAATTAAAAATGTATTTCATGATGCATTGAACTCTCAGTAAAGAAATAAAATATTTAAATGAAAAACATAACAAATCAACAGGTGAGTTTAAATGAAGAACAAAGACATCGAAATAGAGATCATATACCCTGGAGTTGTAAACATTCCCTAGCAAAATGACACAACCGTAATACAGCGAGACCTTGATAATAGAAGACGTGATAGGAGAATTTGGGTTAAACACATTTCCAATCGCTTAAAAAGAATTGGGGTCCGGTAATGTTTATTTTTCATCCATAGAGATGTGTTAAGTTTCATGGAAAACACGATTTTCATCACGAAGCTGATAGTTGATAAGGGCTTCTGTAACGAATAATATGTTCCAAGCATGAACATCAGAAGGTAGGGGAATCCTTCATTATTTTCTTTGATATAAGGTATGTCTTTCAACTTCAAATTGGCAGAAGAAAATATCCACATTCTGTGAAATAGTGTACATTGAAGGTACAATACGTAATAAACAGCGATATCAGAAAGACTAGTTTTGAAAGGGAAAGGCTAGTACATCCGCTGCTTGTACCACCTGAGAAGTTTCCTGTGTTGCTCCAGCTGTTTGGTTCCTTTGTTGTATTCCCTATCAAACAGAAACAAAGAGGACAAATAAAGAATTGTGAAAATGGGTAGCATCATTAGATAAGAAGTAAAATAAGAAATATTTATTTCCTATGTCGCTTGTAACACGAGCTTTGATTGCTTACAAAGTCGGGTGTAAATTTCCCTGCACTCGAATTGAGCCAGGTGTAAATAAAACGTGACGTCACAATGTATACGTTTTCTATGATAAAACGTGACGTCATGATGCATTGTATGTAGTAATCTTATCGGCAGATTGAGACACATTCTGATGTTTGATGTTTACATAGCATTTTTCTGGGAAAATAGGAAATAAATTCGTTATTCGTTATTCGTTATCCAGTTCCAATCAAGGGTGTACGGGGATTTATCCCGGGATTATTCCAAACACCCTTCGGCCTTCGCCTTCAGGGTGCATGGAATAAAACCAAGGGTAAATCACCGTACACCCTTGATTTTAAGCTGGGTAAATGATTATGTGCCTGTGAAACACTGTTGTCCCTATTTTACAGCTTGTTGCGAAGGTACAAGTTTCTCTAATGCATTTTCAGAGTCAGGAGATCAGATCAAAAACAATGCTACTAACCTGAAGTACCTGTATTAATGCATGACGTCATGATGCATTGTAAAACGTAGTGAATCTTATCGATAGGTTGAGACACAGTTGATAAGATTTATGTTTACAAAGATGTTTTGCGGTTACATAGGAAATAAATTCGTTATTTGTGTCCAATCAAGGGTATAGGGGAATTAACCCCGAGTTAGATGCCAAACACCCTTCGGCCGTAGGGTGTATGGAACACCACTGATTGACCCTGGATAACTAATGACATAGACGCCATAGCGCAAACTCGTTAAAAATCATGGCAAAGATTTTTTTTAAGTGTCGATCAAAGACTAAGGACAGAATGTTAACAATGTTTTGTGTATTCCTATACGAAATCACTGTCTTGTTTGTTTGGTATGCTAATTCTTTTAAGATTTAAGGACGTACCTCTAAATGTGGGGACCTCTTTGGAAGGTATGTCAATGATTTGTCCACCCATCACACACTGGTACTCTCCAGGATACTTCGCTTTATAACTGGCTATTCCATTTTTGTGGGCGTGTCCTAAAGAGAGGCAGATAACACAGCTGTTTCATAGTTTAAACATTTTTAAATTGAGTGTGATCTTATATCTACAGATATTTTTTATTTAAATATAGAAAGGTTATAGTCTTTCAATCCCAGATAAAGACTTCCGTGAACTTTAATCCCTATTCTATTTTTATATTTATGTAAAATAGGTTAAGTATAATAAGTTTGTTTTTCTCACTCATATGGAGACGCGAACCTCTCACCCAAGGAACTGCAGTGGTTTCGAACCCGCGACGTTATGATTATCTCTTTACATCGCTACTCTAGAACAGACGCTCTTACCACTGCGCTTGTATCAAATTTTAAGTATTTAAGATCTGAAGACAAATTTTAAATAATCACTGACCTTGTTCTTTTGTTTGACACTGTGTCTTTGATATTCCTGTATTCCATGTACAGGTGACGATGAAACCATCTTTTTCCTTCCTCTTTATATGGATTCCTTCTGATGACAAATTGAAGAATTTATGTTGGCAGGTCAGACTCATGTGTTCTTTGTTGTGGGTGACAGAAACCGTGAATTCTGAGCCTGTTGAAAACGAACTAGAGTTTAATAATATATAACACACATGTCAGTTGTTTTTTTACTGAATTTGATCGATGGAAAGATAGAGACTTACGACATGGTATCATTATAATAGACTTATTGACATGGCTTCCATTATTACACCTGGAATGTATCACCAACTGTTTTCCTGCATGTTGTGTAAAATCAAAAGAGAAACTGAACTGCAGAGATTTTCTGTTGTTTTCATAATTCCCACCAGTACACATCAATTTTCTTTGATTCCAATGGCATTCTTCAGCATGATTAGGATGTCCCTCTAGGGTAACCGTTATGTGTCTGACGTCACAATCAATGACAGTATTAATGATCTTTCTTTCATTGTGGCAGAATTCTTTTGTTTCTTCGGATTTTGACAAAATTGCTGAAAATGTTTTAAAAAATCATGTTTACAAGATCTGTCATTAAAATCATTTTACATAAAAGCATCCTGAAGCTTAGGTTACACATATAGATATAAAACCATACACTCAAAGCTCATGAGCATATTTACTCTGCCAAATATTCAGAATTGACTTACGATTTCACTCTTTTTTGATCACCCGTGCTTGAATTAAAACAATGATTACATGTATGGAACCTGTGCTTTAAAATAATAATATGTGGAAAGGGGATACGTAAATGTTACATGTAATCATTTTATCGAGGAAAACATTAATGTTGATGTGTATTGAGTACACAGTTGGGTTTAGTAAAAAAAAATGGAATCGTGATATTAGGGATGCTTACTACGCCATGGCACCTGATCCTGTCTTAGGTGTTTTGGAGGTCCGTGTTTGCTCTACTCCAATTTTGTTATCTCCATATGTTTTTTTTTTTAAATTTCTTGTCACATGTCGAATATTTTGAGAGAGACAAAAACAATATAGTTATGAATGTCGACAGTTTTCTTATTATCACTTGCAAAACATGAACATCGAATTATCTGACCTTGAAATAGAATGTAAGTAAAATAATATTCTTTTTATACCTATAGTGATTCATGAAATAATTATTTTTTTCATCAAAGAGAGATAGAGAGATCATCCGATAAACATGCTAGGCTGGCATCATCAAAAGAGAAAGAGATAGAGAGAAAGCGATTCTTTTGATAACTTAATCATGCAGAAATTACATTTATGCACGAATCTAGATCTTTCAAATATAGAACGATTTTTTAAAAATTTTATTGATAACCACTAAATGCTTAAGACACATCATTGTATTTTCTTTATAAAATAAATGTTAAAAAACGATTTATTTTCTTAACTAAGGTATACATGAAGTATATAATGCATCATACCTGGTATATAAATCCAAATATGTAACACTATAATACACAGTTCTGGATGCATGTTTTCTTACAATGTTAAAAACAAACGTTTAGTTCTTTTATATATATTTTCAGCATATGTGTTTTCCAGGTTTATGAAGTCCTGTTATAAATATCTTTACTGTTTTTGTGGTTTTTTTAGTTCTATTTATAGATACACTGTATAGGAGCTTTAATATACCGACCAGTCAGCTATGAGCAATACATTGTATGTTGTGTATTGAAAAGAAGAGCAATTATTATTGACGCTTGACAACTTTTTATGGGGTTTACTTTCAAGTTATCATGTATTTAAATGTTATGTCATTTTTCATTTCTATCCTATACACATATATTTACAAAATGTAGTTTATTTAAACTGGTCTGTGTATTCAGTCATTGCACTTCAAGGCCATTCTTATAACATTATCAATCATCTAAATTTGACAGCGTTGTATGACCTCAATTAAAAGCACTAGACTAAACTGAATTAAATAAAAAGCATATGGCGCTTTTCGTGAAAATATTTTACTACTTAGACTTAAACTTGACCACTCTGTATTTTTATAAATTTAATAAAGATATTTTATTCCAATGCATATAATATAAATAGATGTATTTAGGATGACAGATATATTTTAATTAAAATATTATTATCATGTTATAGAATTGTTAATTTTTTGTAGCTTAGATATTTGTTTTAGAATGGAAGACAGTTTAACCTAACATTAAAATAAATCGCGAAAGGGTCACAGATTTACAAGACGAAAAATACCTGGGTCATAAGAAATTTAAAGAAGAAGATTGACAGCAATATCTGATTTACTGATAGTGTGGATATCTTAAATGTCTAAAACAGCTTTAAAACTACACACATAATTAGGATAAAAGACAAGTCTACCAGGTGCCATTTAATGTCAGTATGTCATGGTATTTAAAAATATTAGAGTATTAATCCCCCCCAAAATAATGTATTTTCATGTTTATATAGAGTACTTTTTTTCTTTTATAAGATTCTTATTTTCCCTTCTTTCAGACCTTTAGGTTATCATAACGTCAAAAACACATTTTTAGGACGTCAATCAGATAAAAATTCGTTTTGAAAATCAGTTATATAAAATTGTAAATAATTTTTTGATCTGTAATTTCTTTATTTTTATTAAGAAAAAATGCTTTAAAACAGTGTATATGCTTCGTTTCATAATGGTGCAGGAAATATTGCGCCCCCCCCCCCGATTCGAAATAGCTATTAAAGATTTTCTAATGCATTTTTTAATTAACTTAATAGGCTGATCAGTCAAAAAAAAATGAAATTTCTTATTCATTTATAATTTTAGTCTGTCTGCTGTTCGATCGGTCTATCGGTTAAAATGTTTATGTAATCAACTGTATGCATTTATTTAAAACTGACTGTATAAAAAAAATACAATTTATCTTTCCTTAATTTTCTGCGAATTAATTTGCTAATGCATTATCTACACTCCCTCGAATGAAACATAAAAATTAAGAGTGACATAAAAAGAATTACCTTCATAAAAAAGACTGAGAAAACTCACGATACAAATCCACAAATCCATTATCACAGACATGATCAAGGTGTTGACCGAATCCAAAACGCAGGTCTTTTAATTTCCTACTCATTAAATAATAAAGTTCAAAGTTAGCACCACGGGTATCAGAGCTTGAGGAATAACACCGACAAGACACCTGAAAATAATTATCTTGTACAAATAACAATGTAAACTGGGATTTTTAAGACGTCACTTTATAGAATAGTCCGTACACAGAGAATTGTTTCGTTGTCAGGGCTTCCCCAACTCGTATAGGAATCAGAGCTTGAAGTATAACTCCGGCAGTGCACCTGATAAATACCTTGTGCATTTCAATATGTAGACTGAAATCTTAAAAACGTCAGTTTATAAGACAATCAGGACACGGGCACTGGTTTCGTTTTCAGGGCTTCCCCAACTCGTATATGAATCAAGTGCCTGTGAGTCAGGTCACTAAATGATCGTCAAGGTTTTATTTAAGCTCCACGCATAATCAATAGATATACGAGTTCAAAAACATTCAGATATGTAGTATTAAGTTACGCGCTTTACAATTTTCTTTTGAACTTTCTAAGTGCGTCAGTTTAAACATCTGTTTGTAAAAAAAATCTGTAAAGTAAATTAGTTAAATTATTTGTAATAATACACTGAAAAAATCCGTATCCTAGGGAGATTAATTTAAAAAAGGGTTAATTATTATAATCTTGAAAGATTAAAAAAATTCTACAATTATGCTTGCACGAAAAACATCCCTTACTGCTCAATGACCTCAAGTCCTGAATATATGTCAAAATATAGGTCAAAATATGTACTCTCCGACGGCATGTAGTATTATTAAAATATTCTCGGAAATGTCGGTAAACAAAAAAAGGGAAAAAGCAATACTTTATACAGACTGAGTCGTATACACACTTGCCTGTTACGCCTTTGGAAATTATCTTATTCTCTCTTATATAACTACAACCTGTTAATTTTGGCTGGTAGCATTTTGCGTAACAAGCCAACGATACCAATTTTTAAAATGGAAAACCTTGCAATCATAAATTATATATAACTTACCTGTACTCAGAAAGGACTACTTCAAAGATGTGTATGTTGAGAAAAAACTTAAATTGATAATAAAACTGAAAACCTCCACAGGTATGTTAAGGTTACAACCAAAAATTCTATATGCCTGTATGATATGACGTCATAGTAAGGTATATGACGTAAAGTTTAGAGATAACAATTTCTTAAAATCGATATCTAAGATAGATTTGAGGTCGTTAATTGGATCAAAACATGCAGTGGCATAATACAAACGGACTTTTGTTCTTTTTGGGTCTCTGTATTTATCATAGGGGTTAAATACCAAACCCGTGACGCCATAACTGTTGATAATGAAGTAGCAGAGTGTAAGTGAAACGTAACGAGAATTCATGTAAACAAACACAAGAAATCGGAGTTTAAAAGCATTTAGAATGAATATCATGCGTGATTCATGTGGAAATAAAGCTTATGAATAAGGTATGCTAATATAACTCTACAGTAGACAGGGTGTTTACTTGCCGATCAGCCTTTCCTCTGTCGTTTGTTACAAAAAGATGCAAAAGTTCAACACTACACCACATACTTTGAAACTTAATTTTTGTTTCTATCTAATGTTCTTCTTATTTTATTGTTTTTGGAAAGTACTACTAGAATCGTATGGTTTGCAGGAATTGATACGGGAATTGATGCATTTTTTCGATGTTATGAACAAAATGTAAAAATTTTGGGGAGGTTTTCTCCGAAAGTGTTGAATAATTATTTCTGTGATAGGACAATAGGATTCTAACAGCACTTTTCGTGGCGCAGAGATGTTTTTACATAACTATTACTACAAATTGAAATTTATTATCCCCGGGGTATTGTTGAACTTTTCACTTTTTCATTAAGGCATTTTTTTTCTTATTATAGACGTCACGTACGTGGTGACGTAGTCGTGAAGTGCTTCCTGTAGTATAAGTCCCATTGAAGTCTATAGAATGCAAAATGATAGCAAAAGTTTTATCCATGACTTTTCCGATTTATTTGCGTTACATGTTATAAAAAAAAGTGTTAATTCGCCGAATTCTGATTCTTGTGCTTCCTTAGCAAACCCCATAACAAGTACACCGAGTCACGCCTCACCAGTCTTGACATTCGATTACTAATTACAGATGTACCTTTCTGCCTTTCTTACAAAAACAAAACAAAAAAAACTTTCAATTCATCTTTTTTTACTGCAAACAAGAACATAATAAATCGCAGATAAGTTAAAGCGCGATTTATCCTTTTGAATACAAAGTTAGTTATATCACGATAGACTACAAGAGAACAAGCTTCATATCGCTATCAGGAGAGGGCGGGTTTGATTTTTGTGAATCCTAAAAAAAGAAAAGAAAAACGCCACAAGGTTATCTTTAAGATAATTTGTTTGTGACCTCTCCGGCTCATGGTTAAAGGAATGAGTCGGAATATAAGTTGTTTTTTCAAAAGAATACACGTTGAGAGGAAGAGGAAAATCGACATAGAAAACACATTGTCTTGCTGATCTGATAACAGTGCCTTTCTTCATTAAACATTATATTTATAGTTAACGTTACAATATAATGTAAACTTTCACACACATTATATCATAAATAATCAAGATTTTTTTTTCAAATTTTAAGAATGATTTATTTTAATTAATATACATTTAAATTTGTTTCTTTACTCTAAAACAATGATAAACTATAAGTTAGTAAAGATAATTTTAAAAAGGTATAAAATGTAGAGAATAGAATAAAAGAGTATGAACACATGTACGTCTAGTTTATTGGAGAGGTTTTGTCGTTTTGTCAGGATCTCTATAAATCCAATTATGTCTTTCTTTCTTTCTTTGAATTCTTTTTTTTTCTTTTTCTTTTCTTTTTCTTTTTCTTTTTTTTTTTTTGTTTTTTTTTTGTTTTATTTAAACAAAACACGTCTTTCTTTTGAAACTTTCTCTGTTTGAAACTATGAAAAACAACATATTCCTATCATTAAGCTCTATTTTGTCCACAAGTAAATAAAGAAACCCGCTTTTATTTCATATACGTTAATAATATATATTTTATACACATGCATTTCTTTATCATTTGATATATATTATTCACAATAAAATTTATTTAAAAAATGAACAGTATTCAAACTTACAAAGCAATAATAAGGCCCCCAGGGTCATGATTTGTACAATTTAGAATCTACACTAACCCAGAATGCTTCCACATAAGTTTCAGATTTTTTCCTATATATTTCTATGTTTAACTTTGATTCCACATTGTGGCCCCGCCCTTCATCTTGGGGTCATGATTTGAAAAATATAGATTCTACACTTCCCTATAATGCTTTCACATAAGTTTCAGCTTTTCTGGCTAAGTAGTTATTGAGAAGATTTTTTTTTAATTTTCTGTATATTTCTATAAAAAAAACTCCCCATTGTGGCCCTGCCCTTTCCCCAGGGGACACGATTTGACCAATTTGAATTCTAAACAACTCCAGGATGCTTCCACGTAAGTTTCAGCTTTTCTGCTCCAGTGGTTCTGAAGAAGATTTTTCCTATATATTTCTCTGTTTAAATTTGATTCCCCATTTACTAATTTTCCCTTTATAATATGATTAAATTTAAAGATGAAGTTTAAAGAAACACCGTGGGTAAATAAATTTTAATTTGAGAATTTAGAGACATCTTTGTGAGCATTTTCAATTACTCAATGCCTGATTTTCAGAACCTGAGGATCGGATAACCTTAATGAAAGAATTATAAGCGAGTGAGAATGTCAATTTTTGATTCATGTTAAATTGAAAAGGGTTGCCTAGAAAGTTACAGGTTTTTTATATTCAGCGGCTTTCTATCATTTACGATTTATAAGGCCTTTGTGTACATCTACTTCTGTAAATAAATTAAAGATCGACCCATCACGTTTATTTTAAGTGGTGCTGAGAAGTATATCTAAGATAAAGATCCTAACTGCGAGAAAAAGCCAGGGTACAGCTTTGTATAGTATACGTATTTTAACATTTTACGAAATCTAAGAGAAAAAAAATTAGGCGTCAGAAACAAATTTAAAGCTACTTGGCGAAAGAGGGCTAAACTAAAAAAAAGAATGGAGGCTAATCCAAAATCTCAATGTCCATATTATGTATACCAGGTATCTTGTCAAAATAAGGGACTAAACTTTTCCTATACCTTGCCTTCTCTCCTCCCAATTTGTAGACATAGATACTTGGAAAATTTTATAGCTTTGGCGCTTGTATGTAGTATTCCAAAGTTTAAAGGGGCTGTGTGGTTGTGGGTGGTTTTGGCCAAAGATAGACTATTTTGATCTCCTTAAGAAGAAGAGCTCCATATAAAGATACAAGGATGTATGATGAAATGATCAAATTTGAAAACTAAAACTTATAAAATTTTTCTTTGCCAAACGATAGTTGAGAGCTTAGTATATCATATCCCAAAATTTAAGTTATATCTGGTGATTACTAAAAAAAATATTTGTTTACCGCCTAGCCTCCATAATGGACTCGAGTATTTTAAAAATGAAACGCACTTTTCAAAATATATCATTCCTGAAAAAAATATTTACCAATGTCTCTCTCTGAATCTCTCATTCTCTAGAAACTTAAGTATCTACTCTGTAGGACATTTAGCTTGCTGCTTAAGTTTGTCAGTACTTGGCCAGGTATTCTTAAGAAGCTTGTATGGAGTGAAAACCAACTCCAGCTTCGATTATCTAGAAATCTGTTCCAAGGAGGAAAATCAATACAATATTAAAAAATGTAATGACTTCTTTCTAAAGAATCACATCACGAAAAAAGATGACAATTGAAAGAATCCTGACAAAGTGTATACAAAGGGTTCTTCAAATATTGGTACCTGGGGTAAAAGGGAGCTTGTTTGGGGAATCGAATTTAAAACGAGGAAAAAATGAAAAAGCAAAAATATTTACCATAGAAAACACAAGGTGAATGAACCGAGTCACCAATATGCAAATATTTTCCAGAAAATGGAATCTTTTTTTTCTTAAAACATGGTCCCTGGCAGTAAGACGGGACATAAAAGATCATGATTTATTATGTTAAAAAATCCACATAGCCAACCATAAATATATACGAATATTACTCAATATGCTGAAAACATTAGGTTGTGTATTTTTTTTGTTATGACGTGGACCCCGGACTTGGACCTTGTCTCTATATGTGATTAAAGTAATGGGTGTGTTCTTGTTTAACCTAATTATTAGTCCTAAATAATTTTTATTATTATTTCCTAAGTATTCATATTTATATTTATTTTTAGGGTTATGATTCATCTCCTTCAATCCAAGAATCCTCAGATTTAGAAGGTAGTTGTTTATCAAAAACGTGTTCCCTCCCTTTAAAGACATGCTCTCTACCTCCGACGACAATATGTCACATGATAATCACAGTTTTACAGGTGGAAATAGATAAGAAACCCTATAATTCATACACATGTATTATCTTTCTTCTGAAAAAAAATAAATTGAATCTGCCTACAATGGTTTGAGTTCTTCGCAATATTTTTTTTTAATTTTTTTTTTCTGTTTTCATAGAAGTTCGAGGTCCATTGATTGAAATTATGAATTTTATCTCAATTAGAATAGAAATATAGTTCATTGTGAGGTTTCCATAATTTACCCCTTATATAAAATATTTTTTGTTAGTTTCTGGAGCACTGCCACAAATGTTTTTTTTTAAAAAAAAAGGTTATCAGGCATTTTATTGAGGGACCACATGCATATACATGTTGTGTATGTTTTCTATCTATTCTCTGAACCATAAAAAGTAATTTGAAGTAGGACATGCCCCCTTTGTCACGACCATGCTGTTATATATGAAAGTAACAATTAAAATTAGATTATATAATTTAACTACAATAGAAGACATTCACATTTACTAAAGTTATTCCTCTTTGCGTTGTTAATCAGGGGTCAACCGGCGTAAAACATTGTTTTCCCTCTATAATTGTATGGGTTAGTAGGATTATAGAAATAAAATCTATATAAGTATGTTCATTATGTTTTTTTCATGTTGCCTCATACTCTGACGATACGGGTAAAATGGGATAAAGGAGCGTTACGCCGACAACGAAAGATAACTCTTAGGGATGTAAATTCGCCTATGGAAAACCACTGCGAACCTAATTTTATCATACAGTAACATTTAAACGACGTTCACCGTTTGTAATGTTAACATAAAATTCATACCTGTATATAGACCTTTAGTGATCCTTGTTATGGTGTTATGAAGGCCTTAGCTATCCAAACACTTTATAAACAGAATACATGTGCATGTACTGTAAATATATATGTTTTTGAAACAAATGTAAATGTATTCACCATATATACAACTTAACTTCTTTTTAAAAAAAACCTCCTTCTTTAGGATTGTTTGAAAATTCACGAAATTGAAATTCGTAGAGTGTATCAGAAATAAGCATAGTTATTTCTTAATTTATAATATCATCAGATAAATAATGATATTAGATAAAGTAAGATTAAAACAAAACCTTTTTACAGAAAGATACGTTTAACGCAGTCAGTTTATTGGATAATAAGTTTATAAAAAATATTTTTAGAACATAATCGGACAGTATCAAGAAATTCATTACAGAGTAATATTAGATCAGTTTTTACACAACATATTAGGACGATATAACGAAACTCATTACATAGTTATATAAAATAGATAACATAGTTATATAAAATAGATAACAACAATACTTTGCATTATTTCAGAGATAACACCATTAGGAGTAGAATTATAACACCAACATCTAATTTAGTATGAACATGTATAAGTGAAATATTTAACACGTCATGAACATCAAATAAACCAAATGATTGACTGAATGGCGTGATGTCGATCAAAAGTCTTAAATCAACAATATAAACCACAAAGTAAAACATCATTTACACATCATATAACACAGTAAGTGAGGTTTAATCATCATGACAGTCTCCTTTATATCACTACCAGACTTAAGTGGCGGATACCATGGCCTGAGCCAGAACTCCGGGGACCAGGGATCGTCAGAGCCTCGTTTAGGTCAGGTCAACTGGTGGGCCAGGTCTCGGGTCCTTATTTCACCATGTTGACCTCGAAAGGGGTAATTAATTGTATAATATAACACAGTCAGTGAGGTTTTATCATCATGAGAGTCTCCGTTATATCACTACCATACTCAAGTGGCGGATACCACGGATTGCCCCAGTTAGCCGAGGACCAGGGATCATCAGGGCCTCGGTCAGGTCAGGTCACCTCGGATCCTTACTTCACTAAGTTGACCTCGAAAAGTATATTTTATTGTATAATATAACACAGTCAGTGAAGTTTTATTATCATGATAGTCTCCGTTATATCACTACCAGACCTAAGTGGCGGATACCACGGATTGCCCCAGTGTTCCGGGGACCAGGGACCGTTAAGGTTGGCGGAGTGTCACACGTTATACCACCAGCCTCCTCCCCCTCCGGCATAAACCGCACAGCCCCCTATACTTGCTTTGTCGTTATCTCTGTCTGGGGTTGAAAAGTTCATCCCAGACAGATTGGTGGTAGATTCTCCTGTGTCTAGCATACGGTCTCCTACAGTAGTCAAAAATACAATATTACGTGGCTATCTATATCAACTATATCTACATGATATAATTAACAGTATCAAGGATAAAGTATTACATAACTTCTTATATCAAATATATCTATATTGTATGAAGAACAGTATCAAGGATAAAATATGACATGACTATCTATATCAACTTATTTGATATAATGTACAGTATCAAGGATTAAATATTACATGACTAACTATATCAAATCAGATTATTCCTTTCTATAAAGTTTTATCTATATTTTTTAAATATTACACATTTACTACTATATAAGATAATTCCTGTATATAACAATAAAAGTTAATGCAAAAAAATATCATTTTATATATCATACAATTATGGACTCCTTTGGTGTAGAAATGATTGTTTAATTATATAGTCCGAATTTAAATAGATAAGACTTTGAAGGCTGCAGGACGGCACCATTTTAATTTACGAACTTCCGTCGTTGAAAATTTTAAAACATATCCAGATTACAGTTTGTAACCTCCGTGTTTTCCTTTACGAGTTTCGTTATGCGTATGTGTGTTTAAAAATAATCCTATGATAGGTTTGTCTAATTTATTTTTCCTGCTCAGATACATAGTTGGCTTCGGCCGTCGCAATCATTGTTTGCAATGTTGACTGTGAAGTCACAATGACACTGCACGCACATGGACGCTCCGGTGAATTCGGTCTCAAATCCGGTGAATACGTAGCGTTATGAACTTTTTGCGCTTGTTTATATTATATATGAAATAAAGATAAACTATATTATAAAATTTTATATTTTACACCCTATTAATTCACCAGTTTTAATCGAACAGTCAGCATAGAAAATGATTTAAATTAAGAAGTTATGAGAATCAAAGGTGTTTAAAGAATTGTTATTATTGGATATCATCAAAAGAACTTTACTTTCAATTTTGGTATTTGTATTCTTTATAATTTATTGATATAGACATCTCTCTCTCTCTCTCTCTCTCTCTCTCTCTCTCTCTCTCTCTCTCTCTCTCTCTCTCTCTCTCTCTCTCTCTCTCTCTCTCTCTCTCTCTCTCTCTCTCTCTCTCTCTCTGCACATTAATAGTCCCATATTTAACCCACCCCCAGTGTTCCCGTAGCTGGACCTCCAAGAAAAAGTCTGTAGTTGTTAGTTTCCTCAGACACAGAGAACTTTTGATAATGTTCATACAACGTTGTACCATTTCTTAAAGTTCATACAACGTTGTACCATTTTCTTAAAGTTATGGAGACATAGAGGGCTGAGTTATTTCCCTTTGTCAGCTGGTGAATGACATCATGTCCTTCAATATATCATTGTTCTAGTACAGTTAGCAGAAATGCATAATTCAGTTCATTACGGGGACACCTTAGTTTGATACAACCTAATAAAATTCAAAATATTTTTCAGAGAGGTCATGTCAGCATTTTACACGATTGGTTATTTAAGGTCAGACAAGATGTTCCTCAAAATTAGTTTTGGATATTTTTGTAATGTATGAAAAATATTCAAAATTTTAATAGCATTTTGATTTCTAAACCATTTTCTAAACGTTTTTAAAAAATCCAAACACTTTAACATTTGAAATTCAATTTTTTTTTTCTTCCCCAAAGGATTATATAAGAAAAACTACCTCTGGTATCTTGCAGAAATACCTGGTAAGGTACATCAATTTTTTGTGTATAAACATGTTTTAGTAGCAATATTTCAATGACAAATTCTTAGAAAAATTTATCTATTATTAAGGAACGGCTCGTCTGTCCTTAATGTAAAGGCATCTCTATAATGATAATTTATATCATAGGAAATATATTATTTTCATCAACATAACTAAATGTATGTCTAAAATTTTATTTCTTTAATAAAAGACCATATTTTACCTATCCAATAAGAGCCAGCTGGGTTCCCAAAACTTTGTTTGTATTCCGCCCAGGTCCTGCTGAAAGCCACTGATCCGCTCAATCGTCTCTGAATTGCCTAAAAGATATAATGGAATAATAATCATAATAAACGAATAAACATCATATTAACATTGTGTATCCTTTGTACTCATAATATTAATTTAACAACAATATAGAAATATGCGTACCTTTACAATGTGGGGCGTTTTGCAAAATTTTTATTGTCGATTTTGTAATTTTGGATGAATATAAACAGAAACAAATAGCCTTCAGGCCTAATGGATGTATTTTTTCTAGTCATATAGATATTTAGCTTTCTTTAATTCTTTCATATATCGAAATCCAATATGTTTGTCCTTCTACTGAATGCTAGGCAATCCCCCCCCCCCCCCACTAGACAACAAGCCCCTTATTTATTGTCGTCATGAAATAATTAACATCTTTTAACACCTAGGGAAATGAACTTTGGCATAGAACTATTTTATCAACATTCAAAATATGATATACCTGACAGAATCAGGATAAAATTTTATAAAGAATGGAAAATATAGTAAATATTTCAGGCATATATTTATGTTAACTTTGTACAAAAAATAGGATGTAAATGCGTGAAAAGAATACAAACTAAAAAAAATATTACAATTGTAATTATTTATTGTAGATTTGCATATTAAATTTATGTTATTGAATAATAGTAACTTTTCTTGCGATTTATAAGAAAAAGAGTTATGTGGGTATTTTTTCTCTATAATAGGACGAGCTGTCCTGCGGCGAGTTGTCCCTGGTTCCCTGCTACTCTTTTATTCATTGAACGGGTAAACTATAAAAATGCTTTAAAGAGAGAGAGAGGGGGGGAGAGAACTTACTGTCCACCCTCCGCCCTGTGACTCCATATTACAGAAAACGTTGACAAGTCTCTTGGTTCCAAAGGGATATATAGTATATACCCCGGACTGTATCTCTCCGTTAATATAGAGCTCTTGGCAATCCAAATTTCGCTTGAAATCTGAATTTAAAAAATGATACATTTATAATATTGTAAAAATCATATCAATGAATACACGAGCTAAATTTGAGAGAGAGAGATAAGAGTGTGGAAGAATAAGGGAGATTTGCCTTTCTTGATGATGTGAACATCTTCATCGAGTCTCGTCATCCTCTGCCTGAGGGAATCAACAGATTCTTGGATCCTCCCCTGTTGGATCAGAAGTCCTCGAATTTCTTCCATTGTCTCTCTATTACTGGCACAGTCGTCTTTTTCATTCACATAAATGTACTGGGAACTTATACACAGGAAGCTGGACACAAAGAGCGCAACCCACACCATTGGGCACCATGATTTGCTTTCTTAGGCTGTCTTAGTAAAGCGTTTCTGGGATAGAGCGTTTCTGGAATATACCCACAGCTTTATAGATCCCTTACCAGGGAAGTTTAAAATTCATCCAATGAAATAATTCAATACGGTTCCCCCTTAAAATGACTTAAATATGCAGGAAATTCTACAAATATGACATAATGGTGACTTCAAGTTTATTATGCATGGAATAGGCATATAATATCAGGTAAGGGGCGATCCTATCCCTCCACTAATTCTAGGTATGTTTTTTCCTAAAAATTACAAGCATTCACAGGTTCACACAGTGAAACATATACACACATGATCAATACACAGTGAATTTGTAATGCCTTTTGTTCTTGTTTTGACAATAAACAGTTTCAAGAGTTTTTTTAAAAGGAAAAACTCTTATTAAGATAGTTTTTTGAAGAAAAAGATTCATAATTTATCATAATACGTTAATAATTTATATTTACTCAAGAAAAAAACTCATACATGTAAATTCAGATTAAACATAAAATCTAAGTTTTCAGTTTAAACTTTATTTCTTAAAGTAATTTCAGCGTGTGTTGTGTTGTGATAAAAATCTAACATGTCCTTTGTTGCTAATTTAAAAGTTAAGTTGATGTCATTGTCATCGCCCCCTTACTTCTAGGGGCATAACGATATGTACTTTGCGACGTCTCAGATCTAGTGGATTTCCAATGTACAAACGTCGAGGACTAACGCCAACTCCTCTCAGTCTCTTGCAAACAATTTGTGCACTTTTATGCTGATTTCTTCAACCAGCAACAAGCATTTGTAGCAGCAGTTTGTGCGGCAGTTCTCAATCGATTGCTGAAGGGAGACTGAGGGTCTGACGATCCTGTCTGTGTGTGGTAACCCGTTGACGGTCAGTTCTTCGTCTGTCATTCGTGTTCTTAGCTGGTGATGATGTACGCTGCAAAGCCAATTGATGTACACTAAATGCAGTTGCAACCTCCTTTTGAGTAGCTCCATAACAACCTGCACATGCACATAGTAGATTAACTTTATGTATTTCTTATATACGCTATTTAGACATTCATTTTGAACCCTTTGCGATCCAGATTGTCCAGTTTGAATTTCTAATATTCATTAATCATTTTATTTAATCGGGATACGAAATGTAGAGATCTAGTTAGGCAAATCTCATGTGCACGAAACAATAATAAGTTTCTGTGTAAAAGCTTACGTTTCCAGTTTTTCTAGCTAAAATATAGTATAAATACTATAACACACGCTGATAATAAATAAGATTACAGACAGAAACAATGGATTGCTCTTATATTAATTTAGTCCTAAGACTCGGTATAGATACGTTATTCTCAATTAGGGAGACTAAACATAAGTAATTCTGAATTCAGAAGACTCTGTATTAGATATTTTGGTTCAGAAGACTCGGTATTAGATATTTTGTGTTTATGAATACGCCTGATCAGAAATTGCATTTGAAGGAAGAAAAAGAAAGTATAATATTTGACTTTAATTTTAGATATCATTACTGATGGACCGAATATGTGCTGCATTTAAGTTACCAAGAAGAATACAATCATTAAAATATTTTAAGAACGACTTGTTTTAAAAGGAGTTACCATCCTTTATTTTCAAAATTATGTCCCAAATTTTTGAGTTATTTATAGTTTTCACAATGTGAATATCAATATACCGTAAATCTGGAAATTTTTACGTCGATTTTATTTTGCGAATTCGGGTAAAAATGCTGTTGATTAATTTTTACGTTTCAAAATTTTGCGAATGACCACTGCTTTGATTACATTTTCTTATTGATAATTTATTTTTAAGAAAAATATTTTTGCGAATGCAATGAACTCGCAAATTTGCTAAAAATATATCTACAGCAAAAATTTCCCAGATTTACGGTATATGACTCAGACTATACAAAAAAGTAGTTGCAATGCAACATATTTTCGTTATTAGAGCAAATAAAGTGGGCAGAGATTTGAGACTAGAGGAGTTCATGTTTAGATATGACAGTTTTTATTAATTACGAAATGTTTTAAAATGAAAATATATATATTTATTTTATGGGAAAATATATGAAAATTAAGAATAAGGAAGAAATTCAAAAAAAAACGGAAAAAAACATATATGCAGAGAAAGGAAAACTGATTAAATCTTGAAGGTTTAAAGTCTAAAAACTAAAATATGAAGGTCTAAATGATAAATTTAAAGATATTGTAACGGAAGAAAAACGCAAAAATAGAAAAATCAGATGGAAGAGAACCATAGGCAGATAAAAATGAATGTGGTCCTTCGTAACTAATATTTAAGGAAATTGAATTTCCTCTGACGTATTGATTTCAATGTTCGATGTTGTTCATTACGAACATTGACATAAATATAGCCTATTCATTCAAATGTTATACATCAAGATATATTAACCTTTTTAAACATTGGGTAGAAAAAAATCTAATGTGTTTGAAGATTAAATATAAGATCGGATGTTTCGGGACGCCGCTATTTTGGGACCTGATAAAACGTTTCGGGACTTGAAACCAGGAAATGAATTAAAACTAGTTTATTTGTGTTTTTATGTTTATGAACATGTTGAATTTCCTAATTACATTGGTCCATTTGATTGGGAGTAACTGAAAGAAAATAAATGTTATGAGATTACTAGTTATAGAGTAGAATGGCATTGCATTGGACAATACAGATCATTCTATACTGTAAACTGTATTTATGTAATTCATTAAATAAAGAAAACTGTTTAATAAAACTTCACGGGGACATTGATTCTTCGACATTTACAAGAAGGATTGATAGCTGTAATTAGAATGCTAAAAATATCATCCTAGGCTTTCAACATGACCAAAATGAAACAAAAATATATACAAAATTGTAAATCACACGGAACACACGTGAAAAATATTTTAAGTGCGTTAGAAATTTATACACCTGTATACCCTGTATAGAAATTAATTCATATATATATATATATATATATATATATATATATATATATATATATATATATATATATATATATATATATATATATATATATAAACGATACTGTTTGATTCAAGGTGATGTATGGGAGTTTTATTCTTTTAGCCCTAAATTCTTAACAGTTACAAATATTTAAAGAGTTCATATAAACAAATTAAAAAAATTAAAGTATGCTTAAGGTATTAAATTTACTTGATTATACATCTTGTCAATATATATCGATTTATGATTAATAATGCATGCTTAGAGTATTATAGTTACTTTATATACATTTTGTCAATTTATAACAATTTATAAATGATAAAGTATGCTTAGAGCATTAGATTAATTTGTTATACATTTTGTAACAATTAATTAGTAAAAAAAAGTATGCTTAGAGTATTAAATTTACTTCATATACATTTTGTCAAATTATGACAAATAATAAATAATAGAGTATGCCTTGAGTTTTTTGCCCAGTAACTCTTATTAGAAATTCTACAAGTGTACCAACAACTACATCTGATATAAATGATTGATTAAACTATTAATGAGTAAAATTAAGTTTAAATTTGTACAAGTTTATAAATAAACATAATATATTAAAACATGCAAGAACCATGTAAATACATTTAATGAAATTAAATTGTTAAAGGCGTACAATTTTCATAATGTGTAGGGGTGGGGTCATACAAGCTATACAAAGGCAATGAACGATAGTTAATGGGTGAATGTAATAATACAATATATTACATGTGTACACACTTGCTTTATTTTAATTCATTATTAACAAAATCGGGTTAACATATTGCACCTACATACAGTACCTGCATCGTTATTCTTTACATTTCTATCGTGTCCTATCGTGCGTGTATCCTATCGTATCGTGCGTGTATCCTATCGTATCGCGTTTTCCGTATATCAGTTTTTGCGTTTTCTATCGTGTTTTCCGTTTATCGTGTTTTTGCGTTTATCGTGTAGATGGTTTATCAGTTTCAATCGTGTATCGTGTTTTGCGTTTATCGTGTATATTCGAAAACCCTTGCTTTTTTATCTTTACAATAGAAAGAAACTACTGAGCTATTCCGAGTTTCTTCTTCGGTTTCTTAACTAAGATAAGATTACTTCAACCGTAAAAGATAAAAGAAAGCTTTATCCAATTGTTTTCCGTCATTAAAAGAAATATTAAAGCGTAGAAGGAAAAGAATAAATAAATAAAGTAATTTATAAATGAATAAATTGATCAATTAATAATAAAATAAATAAATGAAATAATTATACTATGGTCAAGCAGAGAATGATTATCAAAATTAACTGTAGCTCTATTTTCGGAAATTAAATTATACTCAATCGCATGCTCTTTTTTTTGAATATAATTTTCGAATTGTATGATTTATTTTTTCAAAATTAAATATTATTTATATGATTATCTTAAATGAATCAGAGTAACTAGTGAAATATTTTTGGTAAACTACTGTGTATGCGTACCCCAAAAGCAAATAAATAAATAAATAATAAGCAGGGGATTAATATATGTACACATGTGGCCTGAATGTTCAGTGATGGATCGATGGAGCTGGACAGATTGTCTCAGTTTTCAATTTTTTTTTTCGAAATTAGTTCATCATATTTTCGTTTAAAAAGGATTTTTAAAAAAAGCCATAACTTGTGTATCACTATATTTTTATTATCTTTAATGTTTGTTGAGTTAATTTACGGCATATCTTTATTGATGACACGACGTATGTTAACATTATGTTGTTAATAACATCCGTGTTATTGGGTACAAGCAGTTTGCAGAAGCCGAATTCAGTCATAAAATACATTAAATACATCCGATACATTCTAAGTCGTAAGAAAAAAGTCACTGTTTACCTGTATAATTAAAACATTTCCATTTCACATCTATTTACAGTTTATACGCTTTGGTATACTGATAGCAAAACCTGTTTTGATATACATTAAAAATGTTCATTGCATACTGTACGTTGTTTTATCTTACAAAATGTGTTAAGCAGATAAATTAAATCACAATCTATCATGAAACATGTGACATCATGAAAATCATGGACGATCTCAAAACAGACTAAATGTGTGAAGCTAAAAGAAATATCTACTTCAATATCATTTTTGTTTGGTCTCGGTGATGAAAAAAACCTTTTACCCGAGAGCAAGTTCATCAAATGATCTGAAGGATCGTGAATCTTTGTTTTGTACAAAAATAAGCATGCTTCTTAGAGTTGTCGTTATTTGTCCAGTGATTCTTCGAAACTAATTGTGAGTTAATACTTGCTTTTAAACTCTAGAAATTTTAATTTATAAAAGAGAAAAGAGAAATAGGATAAAGTGATTTTTTTATTATACTGATAATGATCCTAGGGCATGTCTGCAATGCCTAATCGATGATCTTGAAAATTTGCAAAACGATATCACTTAGAATGAAGATAATATATATTTATTAGCCTCTTCCACAGATCCGATTATAGGCACACGATACAAAGCTCTATATCAAAATAATTCTCAGATATATACAATGTATATAAGTAAATTTTGATCAAATCATTGAGTTTAATATGTGGTGTGTTGGAGGTTAAAATAGAGGATCTTCATTCAACTTGATATCGTCTTAAGAATGCTGTATGCATTGAGAGGATGTAAATGCAGCAATATTTTCAAGACAATCGGAATGCTAGAAATTGGAGGGAATGGGTGTGTTAATATCTTTAAAAAAAAAACATCTGTAGAACCCGTCATTCAACAATATGTAGGTATCAGCAGGTAGTGTAGATACCTTTAGAGAACCCTGGATGGAGATAGGATGGGGATCAATATTGTTGGAGAATAACACTGAATGACACGGTACAGTGTACAAAAACAAACAATCAATCTCATAAGAAATGGAGAGGGCCTTTGTTGTAAGAAAAAAAGCGAGACTATTTTCATTGAAACATAAGCATCCCCATGCATTTGCAGGTTGATTCTATTTATAGTAAGACACAACACCACACCTCTCCCATTGTTCATGCAGGGTTTAACCTTCGATTGTGGTCAAAGTTTTAAATGGGGATATCTTTAGAAAATTTAATATAAAATAATTAATGAAAAATAAAATATTAAAAGAAGATCAGAAACACCATTGCATAACAAGTAATTAGGAGGGTATAAAGAAATGTATGACATATTAATATAAAATCTTTACTTTGTGGATGAAACCATGTGATTAGATAAATTTAATCACAATCTATCATGAAACATGTGACACGTCATGAAAATCATGGACGATCTCAAAACAGACTACGAGGGTTGTCCCAAAATTCCGTAGACAAGCATTGTATTGTAGGAACCCTATGTCATACATTAATGAAACTTCGTATATAGATTAAACCAACACTATCTAATAAATTTATGGACAAATATGGAGTAACTACTCA